ATCTCTTTGCACCACTGACTGACATTGGTATGTCTGGAGAACTTGGAAGTGTAGCCTTGGCTTTAGCATAGTGAGCAAAGGAACTGCCTCTTGTTGTTTGTTCCTACTGTGTTTGGGGAAACAAGACTTTGTACATCCTCTGTAAATAGGATTGCATCAAAAATACTTGGCTCGTCATCAATTTCTCCTCCTAACAGAAACAATCGCCAAGGCCCCAAATATTGGCTAACCGCTTGGGTAAAAAGAAAGCAGTAAGTTGACAGGCCCAGGAGGAGATGTGAGTGGAGAGAGTGAAATCAAGATGTAGGACTGGGCCAAAGGAGACATGTCAGGACTGGCAAGTGGACTATTGAATTCTTGACCAGTTGAAGCTACCAGTCTCCTAGTAGGTAGGAACAGAAGGGTGGTTATCCAGTGCCCTGTAGAGAACTCCACCACCACCATCATCCTCCCCTAGTCTCTGGTGTATCCTCCCCTCCTCCCTGCCTCGTCATGCACTGTCTGAGGTGCCATGGAGAGGTAACCCTGGAATCGGTCCCTCTGGATCTCACTCTCAGCCCATGCTCCTCCCTCCTTCTCTAGGCTGGTCTCCAGCCTTGCTTGTAATTCAGGGCATGTCTACACTGCCCTGCAGTTCAGACTAACGGCATGTGACTAGCAGTGTGCAAGCACCAAAGGTCTGCACTGTAACTCCCCCCCGGGTGGATGCTGCAGTCCTGAATGTAAAGGTTCTAAGTTCACACTAATGTACTCCTGACTGTGCACTGCTTTTCACACCCCCTTAGTCCAAATAGCAGGGCAGTGTAGACATGCCCTCCGATTCTTCTTCAAGGACCTCTGTAGATTCCCACTCATGGGATCAAAGGTGCCCGTGTCACCCTCTTCTGGAACCTTCGGCAAAGCCATGCCTGTTGGGCCTGGGGGCACCGAGTTTCCAGGGAACTGAGGAAAGGAATATGCGTGCCCAAACACTTCCATTCCCTTATTGATCCTGTAGGCCACAGCTGAAGGAACCCACAGCTCCCTCTGGATCCTGCTTCCTGCTGCCCCCAACACCCCATCTGGCCAGGTCCCCAGCCTTATGTAACACAGATTATCTGTTGTCTCCATGCCAATATTTTCCTTGCTGCAGGCAGGATCCTGCCATGCCCTTCTCTGAACCTCGTTGCCATGCACAGGATTACAGGTAGAGTCTCTGGATTACGTCAATTTAGGGTGTTTATTGCCAGGCAGAATAGTCTACGTGAGGGCTTCAGGACTTAACCCTTACAGCTCTGTCTGAACTCAAAGAGATAAAAGTCTCTGGGAGAGGCAGAAAAAACAATTCACAAACATTTTGAAAATGTTTTGTTTGAGAGTTTCTGGGAGGAGCCAACTTCTCGGTTTTTTTTCTTTTTTAAAGTGTGTGTGGCTGGGGGGAGACAACAAATGAAAATAACAAAATGTAGTTTTTCATTTGGAAAAAAACAAAGTTTTCAAAAACTAAATTTCTTTGTGAAATGTTTGTTTTGACACAGGCTATTTTTCATGTGAAATCTTTTGACAAGCGCTGGCACGAGGGATGCAGCAGCTATTTCAGCACACGTAGCCCAGCTGTGGGTGTCGCTCCTGGGCACCTGACCCTTAACACCAGTGCTGTATCCTAACACTGCCATCTGCCCCTCCAATGCTTGATGTCCCAGAGCCACTCTGTTTTCCACTATTCTCTTCCTTGATCCTTGAGGTCCCCACAGGCCTCAGCAGTAGAGACACTGGAAGTTCTATAACTCCCCAGCCACCAGACAAGCCCAGTGCCCCCCCAGCAAGAGATTGGCCAGCCCCCTAAGTACCCAGGAGGCCCCTTGCTGCCGGACCTGATCCACACAACATGTTTTCCTGTTAGAAGACAAAATGGTGAGCTCTTCGCTTCAGGCAAAGGTTGTTTTTGTACCCCACCCAGCACAATGGGGCACCCAAGTCAGCTAGCTGGGAGTAACCCTGGGCAGTAGCTGCCACAAGGCTGCTGCAGCTTGTCCTAGCCTATGCTGAGCATCATGTCACCTGTTTATAGCCATGTTCTGACAGAGCAACATGTCACCATGCAGTCGCACCCTGGGGCTGATGTGCACAGTTTTGTTTCCAGCTGACTCTGGGGCAGAGCTGCAGAATTAGTGCTAATAGCCTGTCAGGGCTCGTAGCTGGGTAATGTAAGCACCAGGCCAAGCCAGGGCCTTGCTCATCCTTTCTCCACCTACACTGGTGGATACCAACAGGCACTGTCATGATGACCTCTGACATTGTGTCATCAGCCTATCTGTTTGCAGGGAGATTAGCAGGGTTCCTGCAGCCCATGAGCAGCTCTTTGATCTTCAGTCAGCCCCAGACACACACAGTCTCAGTGGGGGAGGGTTGGCATCTATAGACTAGAAACAACCTTTGTAAGGCTAAAAAATTAAAACCTCCTTTACTTGTGCCTGCTGCCCTCCCAGAGTAGCACCCCAAGGGGCAGTGAAGTGTCACTTCACATTGCTGTGACATCCCAGCACCTGCCCACCCCAAGAGAGGCACATTTGGAATCATTAGCTGTTTGCACTGAGGGGAGAGAAGTTGCATCACCTTCCATTATCTGCCAAGAAGATCAGGCTGTGTGGGCCCTGGGACAACTGAGACTCCCTTTAACTCTTAGGGCCCTGGCACATTCAGACAAAGGCTGAGGAGATGTGTGCCTGTTTGTTCAGTTGCCAAAGGAGTAACAGCCCCTCTCACATGTATCTGCACGATGCCTGCAATCTGTGCCTTTCTGAGCTATGGGATCTAGAAACAAGGGGCCCAAAGCATTGGGGTGGGAAGGACAAACTTTCAGGTTTTGTTGTCCCCTCACTTTAGGGGTCAGTGGCTCTACGATATGCTTAGGTCAGGGGTACCTGGGCCACTGGGGACTCCCATAGCTAGGTGCACCGGGGTAGGCAGCGCAGACAGGAAGTGTCCAGTGACATTCAGAAATCCAAACTATGCCCCTCTGCCTGCAGCTCCCAGAAAGAGTTAATGTGCAGGAGAGTACCAGACGTTTGAAGTGAGAGCAGTTGTAGTGGGGAGGGAGGGGGTGTTTTTGAGTGGGGGAGCACAGCCCTCACTGACAGCCAATAGCCGAAGGAGTCAAGCCCAACGCCCAGTTCTGGAAATTATTTCATGGGCTGGGGAATTGCATTTGAGTTTCTTCTCAGGGCAACTTGTCAAGGATAAGGGACAGACTCGGACATTGGGCACTTGAGTGTCTCCCTCTCTGCGCTGTAGAAGGTAAAGTACTGAGCTCTGGCACTTGGCGTTTCCTTCAGGAGAGACTGGCCTGGGTCACTGCAGACAGAGTTTCTTCTTTCCATGCAGCCAGTTTCCCCTGCAGATAGGCAGTGCCCTAGGTTCGGGGCTGTGGGGCTGTTTCAGACCCATCTTGTCGCTGTGCTGTGTGCAGGTTCCTGTGCCAGAGACTGGCCAAGTAAGCTCCTTCGTGTGTGTTCAGACCCCAGCTCCACTAGCAAGGAAGCCAGACGCTCAGGCCAAACACTTTTCTGACTGGGTTGAGTCTGTGGCTGGTTTCTTTTTCACTGGGCTCTGCTGAATGGTTTCCCTCTCCCAACTGGGTTTCCTCAGCAGAGCTGATAAGTGCAAGAAGAGCTCAAAGGAGAAACTCGAACTTACATGGGGAAAAGTGAGGGCTGATAGCAGGAGAGGGCACCTCCCAACCCTCAGCTGAAATCTCGATGCTCTGTGTCTCATCTGTCCTTCTATGGGGAGGTTCTGTGCAGTTGGGATTACGCTCGCTGGGGGACGAATCAGTCACTATTCTGGTTACACTTTTTGTAGATGGAAAGCACAAGATCACTGCTCAGTTTAATTCAGCCTCTCACAGAATGTGAGTGTAGCCTGAGCCCCTTGTGAGCAATAAGTGAGGGGGACCCTTGGTCCAAGCCACAGTCTAGATGAATGAGTCCGTTCTGCCTTAGCCAATGGCAGCTCCCCTTTTCTAGGAGCTTCACTGCACACCCTTCACTATGTCTGTTAATATCTGCTCAGGAATTCTCATCTCCTCCCCATGGGCCATCTCTCTGCTGCCTTCTCAGTGACAGGGAGGGAATTGTGTGTTTTACACCTTCCTCTCTGCAGGGTCTGCCCTGAAGAACAGTGCAGGGCCAACAGCGTCTCTGCAGAGTCTAAGCTGTCATTTTAACAGCATTAAGTGTTTGTCCTTTCAGTTGTGGAGGACCTTTCTGAGCATCACCCCTGCCAGGTGCTAAGAGTGTCTGCAGACAGACAGGCAGTCACAAATGGGGTAAATCCATCCTTGCTGTCAGGGACTTACACCTAGGATGGCTTCAGCCTAACAGCTCTGGGAGGCATGACTGACCCCCATTCGTCTCAGCAGTGTGTTAATTCTGAAGCCCAGTGATGACCATGAAAATGACAAGGTTGCAAACTCTCAGTGTGCAGCTTTAGCAGAAACCTGCCTCTCCTGTGGGGCTGTGGGTGGAGTTTGTGCTGTGGGTGGAGCTGGGGTGGAGTAGAATCTTTATTTCTGTTCTCCTGTGGCAGGGTCTCATTTAGAGTGACCAGATGTCCCAATTTTATAGGGACAGTCCTGATATTTGGGGCTTTGTCTTATATAGACACCTATTACACCCCCATCCCGATTTTTCACACTTGTGTGTGGTCACCCTAGTCTCATTAGTATGTGGGCTGGCTTTCCCCTTCTATTTCTTTCCTCTCTCTCCCTTCCCCATCCCCACTCTCTCTGCCTCCCTTTCCTTTCCAGCCTGTCTGTTGGCACTGCTGATCTAGGAACTGGGATTAGGGATCGGTATGTGAGGCCCAGTGACCATCAAAGGCCTAACTTCAAAGGCCTCACTTTTGGACCCTCAAGCAGCAACTCCCCTTTGTATCTTGTATGGGGCAGAGCACACAGCTGGTGCATAACAAATAATGCACAACAATGGCTAATTCTGGGGAGTGCTCTTTCTCTTGGGCAGATCTCAGAATGGACTCTTACCTGATCCAAATGAACGGCAATAGCGATGTCCATGTACATAGAAATGGGAACAGCCCCTCCCTGGGGAAAGTGAAAGGCCGGAAGCCTAGATGGGCAGTCCGGGCCTCTGAGATGTCCAAGAAGACTTTCAATCCCATCCGAGCCATCGTGGACACCATGAAAGTGGAACCCAACCCAAACAAGCCCATGATCTCCTTGTCTCTAGGTGAGTACTGGGAAATGCGCTGTTCCTGCTGGCAGTGCCTTGTGTGGCTGTAGAGTGGGGGTGGTAGTTAAAGAGGTGTGGTACTGAGGGCTCCTGAGCTGAGCTGGCAGCCGAGGGGTTTCTGAAGCGTGCAGGAGGGGAGGGTGTGCCCTGTACAGCTCTGTCATTAAAGGACATGAGAAACAAAGATTTTGCTGTTTGTCATTCCCTAAAAGGTGACCCAACAGTATTTGGAAACCTCCCCACTGATGATGAGGTCACCCAGGCTGTGAAGGAGGCCCTGGACTCGGGAAACTACAATGGATATGCTCCTTCAGTCGGTAAGGTCCCATGATTCCTCTTCTAAGGGTAGTGTCCTAGCCCGTCTTGTGCACAAGAGAACAGGACTGAGCCCGGGGATCTAGACGGATATCGTGTTTCACCTTTCTGACTGACACTGACTCACTCCGATCCATATATTACTCTGGCCTGTGTGTGCCCATTCACACCAATGAGCAGCAGGGCATTTGAACAGGTTGGAGGCCTGATTTGCTCATGGAGGAGCTTTTGTCCCGGTCATTTTGTGGCCCTTGTTCTGGGAAAAGGCTCTTCTGCCTCCTGGAGAGGTTTCCTCACAGTAGCGCAATGTGGGCAGGGCATTGCATCCACGTTCTGCGCCATATTTTGTCACTTTGGCCAGCTATTTTAGTCCCATTCTTCACAGGAAAGTGCTTCAAACAATCATTCAAGACCCATGGGAGGCCAATCCATCCCTGTTGTGACCCCATAGATGCTGAGGATATCCCCTCAGAGTGAGGGCCCTGGAGCAGAGCAAAGACTGCTGCATTTCCACACAGTTTTGTTCTTGGTGTTAGCTGATATAAGTACGGCACTTTCCACACCATGTTGGCTTGGCCATGGAGGTTGTAGACCCAGTTACCAGTGGAGTTAACTTGGGCTGTGGGGACTGGGCATGGGGCATTAATTCAAGGGCATGGTGGTTTGCATTGGAGCAGGCCCTTATCTGTGCTGTAAAGCCTGCACCTTCCAGGCCTGCTCTGGGGCCAGGACGTCACCTGCTCTGGGTGCTGAGAGCAGCTGGTTCAGTGATGGAACAAGGTGCTTGTGTCAGGGCTCACTGATGTTGTCTTTTGTTTCCTTCGGAATTCAGACAAATTCCATCCTGCCCTGGGATTTATTCCTCTGGAGTCTCTCTGGGTTCTGGAGACCCCTCTTTGTGCTGCGTGGTCTCTGTCTCATGACTCTTGTGGTTCCTGCACAGAACAGGGAAATTTGGTAAAACCACCGTCACTCCATATTCCATCCTTCTCTCCCAAGGGTACCAGTCTTGCCGGCAGGTGGTTGCTGCATATTATAGCTGCCCCGAAGCACCTCTGGAAGCTCAGGTAATGAAGCCTTCCTGGCAAGAGTCCTCACTGGAGAATGAACAGGCTCTGTGGTGTTAGCAACAAATTAGACAGTGCAGCACAGTGGGGCCCCAGCTGGGCTTTTCTCACACCTTGTCTCTATCCAAGGAGAGAGCAAGATGGCTGGACATGTTCCATATCCAAAGTGATCTTGTCTGGCTTTCTGCCCCAATCCTGGGTCCTGCCTGTCACCCATCCCTGGCTTTCTGATCTGGTGGGTTTGAGCTCCCCAGAAGCCAGCAGTGGTTGCTGCTTTCTGTTTAGCTTCTTCTAGGCCCCTTTAACCAATAAGTTCTTGCTTCTGGCAGACCCATGGACAATTCGTTACTCCCAGTTCAGCTGTCAGTGACTGCTCTGGAATTTCTGAGAGCAGCCTCTGGTTGCATTCGAAGAGCTCATTCTCGTTTGCTGTCTGCAGGACGTTATCCTGACGAGTGGCTGCAGCCAGGCTATCGAACTTGCATTAGCAGTGCTGGCTAATCCAGGGCAGAACATCCTGGTGCCAAGACCTGGCTTCTCTCTCTACAAGACCCTTGCACTCTCCATGGGGATTGAGGTCAAATTCTACAACCTCTTGGTAAGGCAGTCAGGAGTGGAATGCCACAGCCCCCTTTAGAGAGCTCCCAGGGATCTCTTACCCCTCCTCATAAGAAAAGGGAGGAAGGCGTGAAGTGCCAAAGCCAAATAAGCTGGTGCCAGAGCCCATCAGCCCAGCCCTTCTCATGGGCCTTCAGCTTTCCATGGTGGCTGTTCTCCCCAGGGCCCCTGTGTAAGTTGTGCCTTCTCATGGGGGGAAGAAATGCCGGTACCTTTCATTAGGCGCAAAGCACAGCTATGTCTGCATGGTCTTTGTCCTGCGCCTGGCCACATACGCTCCACATCCTGCGCCTGGACGGATCCTCATGCCTCACTCTGGGCCTGGACTCCTGGCTAGTCCTTCAGCCTGTGCCCAGCTCCTCACTCTGTGCCCGGCCCTGCTGCACTTCATCCCCATGCCTGGTGCCCAGCCCCCAGCCGGATCCTCACTCCATACTCCATGCCTTATTCTTCATCTTCACGCACCCTCTCCCTCTCCTCCTCTCACTAGCCTGAGAAATCCTGGGAAATTGACTTGAAGCACTTGGAGTCGCTGGTGGATGAGAAGACGGCCTGTGTCATTGTGAACAACCCATCTAACCCCTGCGGCTCCGTATTCAGCAAAAGCCATCTCCAGAAAATCCTGGCCGGTGAGTCTCTGAGCACTGAGCCAGGGCAGGGCTTTTGATTCGCTGCCTTGTCCTATCCTCTGCTTATCTGTTTCAATCTAATTATGGTGAGCAATATGGCAGGACTTGACCTATTATGTGGCTATGTTGGTGCTACAGAAATAACAGTACCAGGGCCTGGAGGATTCACCCCACACTGTGTGTCTTACCCTGTTCCCAGGGCCTTTGGGACAACCCTGCACAGAGTCAGCATGGCCAGGGAAGGGATGCAGGATGAGAGCTCCTAGGGTCTGTCCCAGGTTCTGTCCCTAACCCACTGTGTGGCCTTCCCTTCCCTTCTCTGGCAGTATAATGGGGATCACACTGCTGATCCACCTCTCAGAATCCTGCTGGGAAAGCCTTCAACATTACGATTGTGGATCAGTGGCGTCTGTCCCAGGCCTGGGATCAGAGCAGGCATAGGCCCTGCAAGCCTAGCCCTGGGAAGGATTGTTCCTAACAATGTATTCTCTAACACTTTGTCCATTGGTTTGCATGTCCAAAGTAAGGAATATGGAGACACTCTGTGGATGGATTGGGGTCTGTTGTGTAGGGCTGGGGAGAGCCCATGCCTGCCCTCTGTAGGATGAGGGTGAGTCTGCACCCTGTAGGGCAGCAGGGCAGCCAGTTTCAGTGTTTACTTCTCTCCCCCAGTGGCCTCGAGACAGTGTGTCCCCATCCTAGCTGATGAAATCTATGGAGACATGGTGAGTGCCTGTCCCTGCCATGCACAACCGTTTGCACCCAGAGCCTGGGTCTGTGGCTTCTCACTATACACTTGCCCCTTGGTAGCAGAGTTTAGGAGTAACTAGCCCCAGACAAGAGCCATAGCCATTAGTCCTGCTGCCTTTGAGTACAGCCATGTACTGTACTTGCAGCTCCCTGGTCCTGTCTGCCCAGCTGTCCCCTGGAAGGGCGTCTTGTGTCTGGTACTCTCCTTTCCTCTGGGTGGGTCAAACTCAGAGCTGCAAGCACTCACGCTCTTGTGTGCATTGCTGTGCTTGTGTCTCCCGTCCAGGGGCCCCTGTCATCCCTAATTAGGACCAGATGTGCAAGGGCTGGTTCTTTGCACTGCACATGAACTCCCCCTTGAAGCATCCCTACAGCTCCCCCAAACCTGCTCTCTGCACCATCTCTTTCATGCCAGAGTCTCACTGCTCATTGCACATCTGCTTTGATATCCCTGCCAGTGAGTTAATGAGCCAACCCCCTGCCCTCCCAGAGCTCCCCTGTCTCTCACAGGGAATTGGCAAGGAGAGGGTGGCCGCTAACGCATCCTCCTGTCTCACAGGTGTTTGCAGAGTGCAAGTATGAGCCCATAGCAACTCTTAGCACCAACGTGCCGATCTTGTCCTGTGGAGGCCTGGCCAAGCGATGGCTGGTCCCAGGCTGGAGGATGGGATGGATCCTGGTTAATGATCGGAGAGACATCTTTGGGAATGAGGTGAGGAACATTGTCTGGTAGTCTTCTCGATGCCAGCAATAGATGCCACCACTAAACATGCACAGGCCGCAGGCACCTTCCCCTGCATGTGTGCACACCGCTGCCTTTCACTCCAGCACAAGCATGCACTCTTCCTCCTGCTTACACACTCTCCCTTGCATGCGCACACGCACATGCCCTCGTGTTCCTGCCTGCTACTTCATGCACACATGCTGCCTTTTTTTCACAGTTGCCAACTTTCTTGCGGTAAATAAGCACCCTGACTTTCACAGTAAGCCAAAAATCAAGCTAATCCCATTTCAAAACAAGGCCAAAACAAGCCAATCCCTAAGAACCCCAACACTCTATGTGACTAGATCCCCCTGGCGGGCAGTCTGGGACTGTGGTGGGCCCGCTGTGCACCCCTGACTCTATCCCCGCCTTGCCCCTGCTTGCTGGGAGCTGATCAAAAAAAAGAAGCAACAAGCTACAAGCCAATTAAGCCAAAAGCAAGCCTAATTTCTGTGATTTTTTTCACGGGTTTGGCATGTCTGCTTCTCTTGCATGCCACTTTGGAGGCAAAGGGTTTTGCGTTCCTCTCTATCAGGCAAGCCCTGTTTCCCCTACAGCAATAACACAAAGTCGTGCTGTCCCCTTGTGGTCCCTGTATGCTCTAATGTGGTTTCTCCTTATCGGTTGAACAAGATAGCAGGTGGTGGTGCAGCCTGAGCTTTGGCTCTTTAGTTATCATTCACTGATTTGTGGCCCGGTGATACCCCGTAGAGCTGGGAGCTTTTCACAAATCTGGGGCACCCGAGAGCTCACAATAGACAGCAGAGAAAGAGGGCAATGTTGATATCACCTGTCCCTGGCTGGCCATGATGCAGTATCCAATGGTGATTAAACGGAATGGAAATGAGCAGAGTGAACCAAAGACTGTGTCACAACAGAGACTGGTTTGCAAAGGCTCTGGCATGGGTTTGCTTCAGGCAAGTCCCAGCCCTTTGGTATTGGTGTGTTTGGCTGGGAAGCCCTGATGCTTGTGTGCACAATTTAGTCAAATCAATGGTCAATGACAGTGGATTCTCAGGCACAAAGGAGTCTGAGATGCTGGGGTTGGTCGTGTACTAGCCTCAGCCCCAAACTACTTCAGAAAAGCCTAGGAGCTACTCTAACATATCAGATGCCCTCTGGTAACAGGAAACTCCAGCTAGTGAGCTCTGGCTGCTTCCTGGCCCCTTTGTACCATAAGCGTGGTGTGAAAGGGCTGGATCCTAGCTAAGGATCGTGGACCAGCTCTGGCCCTCAAACACAGCTAGTGACACTGGGGCCTTCATAGATAGTCTGCAGACACCTGTGATACAGACCCCAGATAATGGGATGGCTCCAGAATGCTTTGCAAAGTTTGAAAAACACCCCTTGTCCAACTGTGGCCGTGTTGGATCTTATGAATAGCTAGAAATGCTGGCGTCAGGGTGGGAGCATTTCCCTTTCCTGCATGAGTGTGCGATCTTTGAGGCCAGAGTGTCACCTGTGTTTCAGATCAGGGACGGCCTTGTAAGGTTGAGTCAAAGGATCCTGGGACCCTGCACAATTGTCCAGGGGGCACTGGAACACATCATCCACCGAACACCCCCAGAGTTTTACCACAACACCCTCAGCTTCCTCAAGGTATGTCCCCCTAGAGAGAGGTATTTAGAGTGAGAGCGGACCAGCAGCATTCCTCAGCAGGTCAAACAGGACGATGAATCATCACAGTGGTGTCTTGCTAGGGACCTCATCTTCCCATGTCCACTCTCTCCCAGCAGGGTGGGCTGGAGAGAGCGGGGCAGGAGCGCCAGCTATGGGGGGGAGCCCCTGGCTACTGCAGTCCTGGCATCTCCTAGCAGGGGGCGCTGCCAGGCGGGGTCAGGAGCACCGGGATGCGGGGAGCTCCTGTCTACGACTGTCCTGACCAATTTTAGCAGGGGGCGCTGCCAGGAGGGGGCAGGAGTACCAGCTGTGGGGAGCTCTTGACAATCCAGTCACAGCGCTGCCAGCCAGGAGGTGCTATAGGAAGAAATGCCGGGGGGGTGGGGGGGAGGGGTGTCTACACTGATTTGCTGAGGTCAGCTCAGTCACCTCGACTGCGCTCAAGGCCGTTAACATCTGTCCTGTTTGCATTAGATGCCCCTTTATTTGCAGTGGGGGGCCTGTCTTGGGTTCTGGCCAAGAATTTGTCTCCAATTTGCTGAGCTGCTTCCTGGAATGTCCCGAGTCCTGAACTCTCTCCTCTCTGCCTTTCAGTCCAATGCTGACCTTTGCTATGCTGCCCTGTCTGCCATCTCTGGACTCCAGCCCATCCAGCCCTCAGGGGCCATGTACCTCATGGTAAGTGAGGCGCTAATGTGCCATTTTCAGAGCTTTGCTTTGCTCAGTGCATGCTGGAGTTGCCCTGCCAAGTGTCTGCCTTGTCTGCTTAAAATGTGAGTTGTTCAGGGAAGGGCCTGATTCTTAGTGTATCTGGGCAGCGCCCAGCACAGTGGGGTCCTGATCTCAGCTGGGGCAGGGCCTGTCTCTTACTGTGTCTGGGCAGCGCTCGGCACAGTTGGGCCCCATTCTTCAGAGAGTCGTAGAGTTTAAGGCCAGGGGAGACCACTATGTCATTTAGTCTGACCTCCTGTGTAGCACAGCCCAGAGAATTCCACCCAGCTACCCCTCTGGTGAGCCCAGTAGCTTGTGTCTGGCTAAAGCAAATTGTCCAAAAAGGCACTGGTCTGGAGTTGAAGACATCAAGAGATGGAGGATCACTACTTCCCTTGGCTGTTTGGTCCAATGGTTAATCGCCCTCACAGTTAAAAAACATTGTGCCTTTAACTTTCAGCCGCTGGTTCTCATTATTCCTTTGTCTGTGAGAAGATTCAAGAGCCCTTTAGTACCTGTTATTTTCTCCCTGTAAAGATACTGATGTACTGTAAACAAGTCATATCTCAATCTTCTTTATGAGAAGCTACCAACAGACTGAGCTCGTTATGTCTCTCACTGTAAAGCATTTTCTCCAGCCCTTGAAACATTTTTCTGGCTCTTGTCTGCACCCTCTCCAATTTTTCAGTATCCTTTTTAAAAGTTGGGCACGAGAACTCCTTCACGGTATTCTAGCATCAGTCTCACCAATGCCGCATACAGAGATAAAATCACCCTTCTGTTCACTAATTTATACACCCAAGGAGTGCATTGGCCCTTTTTGCCATAGCATCTCACTGGGAGCTCATGCTGAGTTGTTTGTCCACTATGACCTCTAAATCCTGTACAGTTATTGCTTTCCAGAATGTGGTCCCCCATTCTGCAGGCATGGTGTGTGTTCTGTGTTCCTAGGCATTCTTTATATTTGACTTTATTAAAACTTATTTTGATTGAACGGGCCCAGTTTACCAAGCAATCCAGATCACTCTGCATGACTTCCCTGTCCTCAGCATTGGGGGTTGGACTAGATGACCTCCTGAGGTCCCTTCCAACCCTGATATTCTATGATTCTATGATTTACCACTCCACTAATCTTTTGTGTCATCTTTATATTTACTGCCAGATCATTGACGAAAATGTTGAATAGCATCAGGCCTAGTACTGATCCTTGCAGAACCCCACTAGCAATATCCACACTCAGTGACTGTTCCCCAGTGACAACTATTTTTTGAGCTCTGTCAGTTAGACAGTTCTTAATCCATTTATCGTGTGCTTATTCTTTATAGATATTGCTAATTTTTTTATCAGAGTGTCATGCGGTACTAAATCAAAGACTTAACAAAAATCTAAATACACAGTTACTTTTTCAACCAAACTTTTAATCTCATAAAATAATGAAATCCAGTTTGCTTGACAAGATGTATTTTCTGTAAACACCACATTGGCTGGCATGAGTTATATCCCTGTTCTTTAATTCTTTGTCAGCTGAATCATCTTTACCGTTATTCTGAGTGGGATGTCTGTAGTTGCCTGAGTCATCCCACTTGCCCTTTTTGAAAATTGACACAATGTGAACACTCTTCCGGTCTTCTGGAATGTCCCTAGAACTGCATGGTTTATTAAAAATGAACCAGCAGGCCAAAGATCTGATCAGCCAGCTCTTTTAGGGCTCTTAGCTACAAGTTGTCCAGGTCTGCTGTTCTTAAAATGTTTTATCTCTAGTAGATGCTGTTTATCATCCTCTTTTGTTACTAGTAGACTGGAAAGTAGCTCATCATCCTCATATAATATAAGTACCTCATCATTCTCATTTCCAAATATAGAACAAATAATCTATTAAATACCCTTGCCTTTTCTACATCATTATTAACAATGTTATCATCTCCCTCTAATAATGGACTTATACCATTGTTAGAATTTCTTTTGTTCATAAAAAAATCCTCCTTATTCTCCTTAGGCATGCCAGCCATGAATGTCCCTTGATGTCTTTAGCTTCCCTTATCAATTTTCTGTACTTCATCTTCTAATTTATATCAATTGCTAACTATTTTAACCTTTTTCCATTTGTAATATATTGTCTTTTTATTTCTGATTGCTGACTTTATTCTGCCACTGGCTTTTGGCCAAAGTTTTCCTCTTTCTTGATCGTGAATTCATGGCGTTTTGACATCTAGTAAACTCTTCTTAAACAACTGAGAATTTTCATTCACATTTTTCTGTGTAAATTTCACTCATAATTTCTGTCAGCTTTGGGAAATTAGCCCCTTTGAAGCACCAAATATATACATACACACATATATATATACATATTATTGGTCAGAACCTTCCTCTCTTTGCCCATAATGAATGTAATCAGGTCATGATTGCTGGTCCCTAGGTAACAACCAACTTCCAGTTCAGTGAACAGTCCATCATTATCCATCACAATGAGGTCCAGAATAGAGTTACCTCCTGCTGGCTGCAGTCCCTTTGTGTTAGAAAATCAGCATCAAAATGTTTTGCAAACTCTAATGGAGTTTTACTTCTGGCTGCATGGGACCTCTAGCATGTCTTCTCAACTGAAGTCCCCCATTACAACCATTTTTCTTTCCACATATTACAGACAAGTGCTTAAGAAGTTACTCAACCAGTTCTCTGGTCTGTAACAGATCCCCATCACTGCCCCCTCCTGGGCATTAACAGCACATTGAACCATGTGCATTGAAGAGCTGGTGCTTCTGAGCTATCAGTAACTCTAAAACAGGTTATGGTTTCTTTAATGGAGTCACCCTCCCCGCTGTACTCCCTCTCCTTCCTTGACAGGCCCTCCCACCTTGTCAGTAACAATAGTGGGGAATGACAATGTGTTTGCAGCTGCCTTCAGCTAGGATTGAGGTTTCCTGCTTCAGAGTTTGAGGTTAATGTAGTGTGGCAGACCCTGTTTGTGAGACCACTGCTAGCCTAGTGATTATAGAGCATGGGGGGTGGGGCGGGTGAGGCACACTGCAAGCACAAATACAGCCTTCAGTTTCACACACATGGCATGGGGCTGTATAGGGCCAGCAGGGGGAGGGGGGCGGAGGGATGCAGGGGACACGGGGCTGTATATGCTGCCGAGGGGGTGGAGGGATGTGGGGGGCACGGGGCTGTATGGGCTGCAGGAGGGAGGAGGGATACCAGGGGCATGGAGCTGTATAGGGCTGCGGGAGGAGGACGGGGGCATGGGAATGTATAGGCTGCAGGGGAAGGATGGATGCAGGAGGCACGGGACTGCATAGGGGCAGGGAGGAGGGATGTGGGGCGCATGGGGCTCTATAGGCTTCGGGGCAGGGTGAAGGAGGGATGTGGAGGGCATGGGGCTGCATAGGGGTGGGGAGGAGGGATGCTCTGGTGCAATCCTATCCAGCCTTGGCCTCTGACATCCCTAAATTTCTGCGCTGCAGGTTGGAATTGAAATGGAGCATTTCCCCAAGTTTGAGAATGACGTGGAGTTCACCGAACAGCTGATCTTAGAGCAGTCAGTCTTCTGCCTGCCAGCCTCGGTCAGTGTTCCCCTCAGAGCAGCCACACGTGTAGAGAGTCTGGGGGAGTGCTCTGAGCTGTGAGCCTGGGGCACCCAGTGGGGGGCTGGGAGCTCTGAGCATGGGGCATTGGGGGGAGGGGGCTGGGTGTCATGTGGTTTGCCAGAAGCCCTGGGCAGTGCTGCAATGGTCACTCGTTGCCCTAGCCAGGCCCCAGGTAGCTGCTATCCTGTCTCTCAGACTGCAGAGTCTGCCCCTCTGCTGTGCATCCCGTGTGTTCCTGAGCCCTGTGTCCTCTCTGCTTCGCACAAGAGCAGCTCCCTGCAGAGTTCGCACTAGCTCAGTTCAATGCCCTGTGCAAACCCCCTGCGGCCCCATTCATGGTGCAGGGACAAGGCTGGAGCCTTGCTGCACGTCTCCCCTTCCCGCTCCCATTGCCCGCAGTCACCCACCCAGTTCCTTAGCCGCTCACTGAGCCTTGACGGTCCTCAGCTCCCTCCAGCCTGTTCTCTGGGTCCTGCCCGGGGGCTACCGAGCTCAACCCCACCAGCTCTTTGCTTACAGCCCCTTCCCCTGAGGGTCTCACCATTCCTTGCTGACGCAGCAGCCACAGGAGGTTTGCGCTGTGAAAGGCATTTTACTGATGGAGATGCTGATGGGCCAGGATTAGATCCCACAGCTCCTGGCCACAGTGCTATGCTTCTTCCATCTGGCTAGGCCTATCCCTGTGGTTTGTGCTTGCTCGTGGGACACAGCTGGGGACCTGGCAGGGCAGGGGTCTGAGATCCCAGTTTCACCCCTGCCCAACTAACCAGCCTTTTCCCATGGTTCATTTCAGTGCTTTGAGTACCCCAATTTCTTCCGGGTGGTGCTAACGGTGCCCGAGGAGATGATGGTGGAGGCCTGCAGTCGCATCCAGGAGTTCTGTGAAAGGCACTACCAGGACAACGAGGGGGCCCAGGACCTGGAATGTGACAAGTAGCCAGGAGTGCTCTCTACTCTGCCTCCGCTCAGCCACCCGTAAATGAGCAGCAGTGGGCAGGGCAGGGCTGCCCTCAGGTCAGCACCTACATCCCATTGCACCTAATGCAACTGGAGCAGACTACAATCCTGCAGAGATTCTGCATGTTCCCTGGGCTCATGGGATCCAGCAGCCATCATTCTACCCCATTCACAAACCCTCAGGCACCCAGTGTCCCACTACCCACCAGGAGCCCATGCTCTGGTCTGTGTCAGTGAACCGCAACATCCTTCATACAGGGCCTGCGGCTTCCACTCAGGCAGGCAGTTGTAGTATGTGGGAACCGTCACTTAGCTGTTCAGTTTGAGGGTCTCTGTTATTGCAGGGCAGTAGCTGGGAGATCCCACGCTGAATGCAAGATGACAACTTCTAATTCCCTTCACTAGCAGTTACATGAGATGCTGAGCTGGACTCTTCCACTGACAGAGCCATGCATGTGTCGGAGCAGAGTTCTCAGCCTCTCTCTGGCTGGAGCAGTACTGGACGGTCTGGTGTACATGTGGCATGATGGACCCTTGTTTGTCTGTACCACAGAATGTCAATGACTGTTCCTGATGTCTCCCCTTTATGTTCTCTAAGGAGCAGGAGCTCTGTGTACTCAGCCCTTGGTGTTGCAAAGGGCATAAATTATTGTAACTATTTTATTAATAAATGTTCGGATGTGCCTGGCCTTGTGCTGTGACCCGCCCTGCTGGGGCTGCTTCTGTATCTGCCCTGGACATCTGGAGGCACGGTTCCTCTTCCATCGACACTTTTTGTTGGCTGTTCCACACCAGCCTGAGGCTGGAACAGAGACCAGACAGGACCGTGATCTTCATACATTTCACTTTGATACCAGACAAAACTACTGAACCCCCCAGCACCTCTCTGCCGAAGCATTTTCCCTTGGAAGATGTGCTGATGACTACACTGAACATCATCAGGTTTTCAGCCCTAAAACTTCACCTACCAAACCCCTAAAGACACAGACACATGGTAGAGCCAGCCCCAGGCACCCCAGAAACTGCCCTTCACAGAAATGAACATCCCTCCCGCTCCACTCATGGCCACAATTGACCTCAGTGCTGCCCTCTGCACCACCCTCCACAACCCCACTGACCTCCACCCGGCCCTTGTACACAGCCCACCGGCCTCCACACACACCACTGAGCTCCGCCCTGCCCTCGTACACAGCCCACCCCCCTCCACACACACACCATCAACCTCCACCCCGCCCTCGTACACAGCCCTCCCCCCTCCACACAGACCATCGACCTACACACCACCCTCGTACACAGCCCACCCACCTCCACACACACCATCAACCTCCACCCCGCCCTTCTACACAGCCCACCCCTCTTGACACACACACCATCAACCTCCACCCCGCCCTAGTACACAGCCCAGTGCCCTCCACACACACCATCGACCTACACACCACCCTCGTACACAGCTCACCCCCACTACACACACACCATCAACCTCCACCCCGCCCTTGTACACAGCCCACCGCCCTCCACACACACCATCAACCTCCACCCCGCCCTCACGCATGGCCCAACCCTCTCCACAAACACACCATCAACCTTCACCCGGCCCTTGTACACAGCCCACCGCACTCCACACACACCATCAACCTCCACCCCGCCCTTCTACACAGCCCACCCCTCTTGACACACACACCATCAACCTCCACGCGGCCTTTGTACACAGCGCACCCCTTCCACACACACACCATCAACCTCCACCCCACCCTCGTACACAGCCCACCCCTCTCCACACACACCATCTACCTCCACCCCGCCCTCGTACACAGCCCACCCCCTCCACACACACACCATCAACCTCCACCCCGCCCTCGTACACAGCCCACCCACCTCCACACACACCATCAACCTCCACCCCGCCCTTCTACACAGCCCACCCCTCTTGACACACACACCATCAACCTCCACGCGGCCTTTGTACACAGCCCACCGCCCTCCACACACACACCATCAACCTCCACCCCACCCTCGTACACAGCCCATCGCCCTCCACACACACCATCAACCTCCATCCCGCCCTTCTACACAGCCCACCCCTCCCCACACACACACCATCAACCTCCACCCGGCCCTTCTACACAGCCCACCGCCCTCCATACACACCATCTACCTCCACCCCGCCCTCGTACACAGCCCACCCCCTCCACACACACCACATCAACCTCCATCCCGCCCTCGTACACAGCCCTCCCCCCTCCACACAGACCATCAACCTCCACCCCACCCTCGTACACAGCCCACCCCCCTCCACACACATCACTGAGCTCCACCCTGCCCTTCTACACAGCCCACCCCTCTCCACACACACACCATCAACCTCCACCCGGCCCTTGTACACAGCCCACCCCCCTCCACACACACCATCTACCTCCACCCCGCCCTCGTACACAGCCCACCCCCCTTCACACAAACCACTGAGCACCACCCCGCCCTCGTACACAGCCCACCCCTCTCCACATACACCATCAACCTATACCCCCCCCCTTGTACACAGCCCACCCCCCTCCACACACACCACTGAGCTCCACCCCGCCCTCGTACACAGCCCACCCCCCTCCACACACACCATCTACCTCCACCCCGCCCTCGTACACAGCCCACCCCCCTCCACACACACCATCTACCTCCACCCCACCCTCGTACACAGCCCACCCCTCTCCACAGACACCACTGAGCTCCACCCTGCCCTCGTACACAGCCCACCCCCCTCCACACACACCACTGAGCTCCACCCCACCCTCGTACACAGCCCACCCACCTCCACACACACCACTGAGCTCCACCCCACCCTCGTACGCAGCCCACCCCCTCCCACACACACCACTGAGCTCCACCCCACCCTCGTACACAGCCTACCCCCCCCACACACACCACTGAGCTCCACCCCACCCTCTCACGCCCACCCCCTCCCCCCACCCTCGCCCTCGTACACAGCCCACCCCCCTCCACACACACCACTGAGCTCCACCCCGCCCTCGTACACAGCCCACCCCCTCCACACACACACCACTGAGCTCCACCCCACCCTCGTACACAGCCCACCCCCCTCCACACACACCACTGAGCTCCACCCCACCCTCGTACACAGCCCACCCCCTCCACACACACCACTGAGCTCCACCCCACCCTCGTACACAGCCCACCCCCCTCCACACACACACCATCAACCTCCACCCGGCCCTCGTACACAGCCCACCCCCTCCACACACACCACTGAGCTCCACCCCGCCCTCGTACACAGCCCACCCCCCTCCACACACACCATCACCCTCCACCCCACCCTCCTACACAGCCCACCCCCTCCACACACACCATCTACCTCCACCCCGCCCTCGTACACAGCCCACCCCCCCCACACACCACACCACCGAGGTCCTCCACCCACCCTCGTACACAGCCCACCCCCCCCACACACACCACTGAGCTCCACCCCACCCTCGTACACAGCCCACCCCCTCTCCACACACACCATCTACCTCCACCCCCAGCCCTCGTACACAGCCCACCCCCCCCACACACACCATCTACCTCCACCCCACCCTCGTACACAGCCCACCCCCTCCACACACACCACTGAGCTCCACCCCGCCCTCGTACACAGCCCACCCCCCTCCACACACACCATCTACCTCCACCCCGCCCTCGTACACAGCCCACCCCCCTCCACACACACACCATCTACCTCCACCCCGCCCTCGTACACAGCCCACCCCCCTCCACACACACCACTGAGCTCCACCCCACCCTCGTACACAGCCCACCCCCCTCCACACACACCACTGAGCTCCACCCCGCCCTCGTACACAGCCCACCCCCCTCCACACACACCACTGAGCTCCACCCCACCCTCGTACACAGCCCACCCCCCTCCACACACACCATCTAACCTCCACCCCACCCTCCTACACAGCCCACCCCCCTCCACACACACCACTGAGCTCCACCCCACCCTCGTACACAGCCCACCCCCCTCCACACACACCACTGAGCTCCACCCCGCCCTCGTACACAGCCCACCCCCCTCCACACACACCACTGAGCTCCACCCCACCCTCGTACACAGCCCACCCCCCTCCACACACACACCATCAACCTACCACCCCACCCTCGTACACAGCCCACCCCTCCTCCACACACACCATCTACCTCCACCCCACCCTCGTACACAGCCCACCCCCCTCCACACACACCACTAACCTCCACCCCACCCTCGTACACAGCCCACCCCCTCCACACACACCATCTACCTCCACCCCCCCTCGTACACAGCCCACCCCCCTCCACACACACCATCAACCTACCACCCCCGCCCTCCTACACAGCCCACCCCCTCCACACACACCATCACTACCTCCACCCCACCCTCCTACACAGCCCACCCCCCTCCACACACACCATCAACCTCCACCCCGCCCTCGTACACAGCCCACCCCCTCCACACACACCACCTACAGCTCCACCCCACCCTCGTACACAGCCCACCCCCCTCCACACACACCACTGAGCTCCACCCCACCCTCGTACACAGCCCACCCCCCTCCACACACACCACTGAGCTCCACCCCACCCCCCCCTCCACACACACCATCTACCTCCACCCCACCCTCGTACACAGCCCACCCCCTCCACACACACCACTGAGCTCCACCCCGCCCTCGTACACAGCCCACCCCCCTCCACACACACCATCTACCTCCACCCCACCCTCGTACACAGCCCACCCCCCTCCACACACACCATCTGAGCTCCACCCCAGCCCTCGTACACAGCCCACCCCTCTCCACACACACCCATCAACCTCCACCCCACCCCTCCACACACCACCCCCCCCCCCTCTACACAGCCCACCCCCTCCACACACACACCACTCACCTCCACCCCACCCTCGTACACAGCCCACCCCCCTCCACACACACCACTGAGCTCCACCCCACCCTCGTACACAGCCCACCCCCTCCACACACACCATCAACCTCCACCCCACCCTCGTACACAGCCCACCCCCCTCCACACACACCATCAACCTCCACCCCACCCTCGTACACAGCCCACCCCCTCCACACACACCATCTAGCTCCACCCCACCCTCGTACACAGCCCACCCCCCTCCACACACACCATCTAACCTCCACCCCACCCTCGTACACAGCCCACCCCCTCCACACACACCACTCAGCCTCCACCCCACCCTCGTACACAGCCCACCCCCCTCCACACACACCATCTAACCTCCACCCCACCCTCGTACACAGCCCACCCCCCTCCACACACACCACCATCTACCTCCACCCCGCCCTCGTACACAGCCCACCCCCTCCACACACACCACTGACCTCCACCCCACCCCCCCTCCACACAGCCCACCCCCCCTCCACACACACACCATCAACCTCCACCCCACCCTCGTACACAGCCCACCCCCTCCACACACACCATCTACCTCCACCCCACCCTCGTACACAGCCCCACCCCCCTCCACACACACCACTGAGCTCCACCCCACCCTCGTACACAGCCCACCCCCCACACCCCCTCCACCCCCCACACACCCACCCCCATCTACCTCCACCCCACCCCTCGTACACAGCCCACCCCTCCCACACACACCATCTACCTCCACCCCACCCTCGTACA